AAAGCTCTACATTTAGTCAGTAGAGTATAACGTCGGCATTACCAAGCAACAAAGTTCAAAGCACTGCGTCGAAGGCAACGGTGATCGTTAAGAATGAGCTTTATATTTTGATAATACTATTGTATAACTGCATAAACTGACGCTAACTGCGGTAATCAATGATTCTTTTTATAGCGATAATTAACGATGTTTTCTTGTTACAATATTTATGAACTAGCGACCCGCCCTCGCTTCGTTTCGGAAACATTAAAACACACATGAAACCAAAAAAAAAAAATAAAAAAAAATTAAAAAAGTAGCCTATGTTCATCAGGGACAATGTCGGCTTCTAATGGAAAAAGAATTTTTCAAATCGGTCCAGTAGTTTCGGAGCCTATTCGAAACAAACAAACAAACAAATCTTTCCTCTTTATAATATTAGTATAGAAAAGCCACAAAATTACACCCGATTTTATTATCAGGATTTCATTTAGAAGACCTCCAGAAAACTGAACAAGAGCCGTCTAACCCAAAAAAACTTAGCTAATTACGTTTCAAGGTTGGAAATCCGTATGGAGTACGATTTTCCATTGTATCCCATACAAGCCAATACTTTCAGTTGCAAACTTCACGTTTTCTTGTAAGCAATTCCTTTTTTGTTGCAAATTTGAAATGCGAACATTATTTTCTAAATAAACATTATTAGGGACCCAAAGTAAGCTTTAAGAACTAAATACGGACAATTACTTTGAGATGTTTTTTTTCTCTGCTCTGTCACCAGCTAAAAGAGGTTTCACTGTTTGAATTAATGCACAAAAACTCATTGAGAAAATAAATAAATAAATATTATAAGTTAAAAAAAATTAAATTACACCTAGGATTTATGGACCAGCGAACATCTCATAACATTATTATTATTTTAATGGAACATTTTTGAACAACGTAGAATATCTGAACTTAAAATGTATTGAGAGGTTGATAATTATTATTTATACATTACTAGCTGTCACCCGTAACTTCGACCGCGTGGTCAAAGGAAAGTGTCGGTGTAGTTTGCTATGGGAAGTAGCTTTATTTTGACGTAGAAGGAGAACAAAGAAACACGGTGTCACATTTACAATGTTATGTTAGTAACACTGAAGTACTATAAAGGTTTATGGTTAGTAACTGTAATTAGTAGTAAATTAGTATTTTAATATTGATTATGAGAAATGTATAAAGCATGTATTTCTGGTTCTTCGATATTATTTGATTATTGATATGATATTGGTTGAGTATATTGTATTAGGCTTCAAACTAAGTACCTATACACTGCGTAATATGCTGAGTAATGTTGGCAAGAAATAAAATGCTTTTTATTTTATTTTATTTATTTATTTATTATGAGAAATGTCGTGGAAAGAGTTTCACTCTGGAGACGTCTACGCTTGAAGGCTTGGATCGTAGACAGTGTGGCTGTTACGTGTTTGTAATTGAACTTTAATATCTTACGACGGCGCGTAGCTGCAATAGCCTCTTGGGCTACCAGCGAATAAGTAAAGGGAAAAAAGAAAAAGAAAATTTTAATCTATTTCTCGAAAAACATTAAATTGCTGATATGATTTAAGGAAATACTACGCTATTCAATTTCTTTTTTTATATTTCACTACATGTTTATATTGAGCTAACAGTATATCTTCTGCTTAGTTAACGTGTGGAACATCTTGAACTATTGTAATATTTTAATTTCTATAAACACGATCGACGAATTCAAACACTATTGTAATATTTTAGTTCTTCTTCTATATCGTTCCCTCACTGCTGAGTATCGCGATCATATGTGACGTTCTTCCAACGTGTTCGATCATGGGTGGCATGGTCCGCATGGTACAGACTACCACCAAGTGTTTCTCTTACTAGATCTGACCATATTTTAGTTACGACCAACGAATTCAAACGTATATTTACAAGGATACTTTGTAAGCTATTCAAAAGGCAAATGTATTCCTAAATTCGATCCAATGAATTACTTCCACAAGATCCAGAACTGTTTGAAGGTGTAATTTAAAACTGATTTCCCTGTTATCTGGTAGTTCGATTCGATAGTTTCGTAGCAGCTGTCGTTTCGAATGACTTCGGCTATATTGGATGCACTGCAGCACCGGATATTTCGGGAATCGTATACAGAAATACACACAAAATTATACAGACAATTCAGAACTCGTAATTTTTATATTAATTTTGTAATAATATAATACTTACCAGATAAACCGTTAGCTACTGCAACCATCAAGTGAAATACAATAAAAACTATGAATGGAGTGCTTCTCAAAAATTGCATCAAAAATTTCGTGTTTTCATGGAAAAGGATTTAAAACTCGCCAACTCATCTAGTGCAAAATTTTCTAAAACATATTTTGAATGTTATGGCTGGCAAAATTTTATTTCGATGCCCTAATGTTTTCATTATTAACCTTTTTAAGTTCACTGGTTAAATTTAAACATTATGTTCTCGAAAATTTTGTTAAGAATTTAAATCTTCTAGTTTGTCATTTAAATTTCTCGGCGCAACTGCAACGTGATTCGAAATTCTAAATGGCAGTAAGGCCCCAGAAACGGCTTAACCTATAAATGGAATACCTTGGCAGACAGTAGGTAACTAGGCTTCATTCTATTTGGCTCCGGCACTATGAAATTTATCATGAATCGCTTTGGTTAAAGTTCCATCTAAACTATTCGATGGACCAGTTCCAGTTTCTTCTAAGAGCGCTTTCAATTTCATGATCAAAAACAATAAAGTATTTCTATAGTTCCAACAGTAATACCCGCTATGTCGCAACTTTTCTCTATTCTCCTTTTTAATGAAACTTAGAATTTAATTAATACGAAATGGCAAATTTAATGTAACACGAAATCTTGTTATATATTTATCCAGAGATGTTATCAAGCTATCACGATGTAGTGATAAGCGAGACCCGAGTTCTGATACCACGAAAATCTGGTATCCAAACGAAGGGCTCGTACTTACGACATTGCTTAACACGCTTACTGTCATATAGGTCACCGGTGCTCTACGTGGCGCACTAAAGTAATTATCTAGATTTCTGATACTAAGGCGCCGGAGTACATAATAGACCCTGAGAAAAACGGAGCCGAAGATACTGAGAATTAATATATTTCCAAGAGACCCAAAAGACTAAAATATACATTAAAAACAAAAGAAGGCAAGTTAGGCAATCCAGGCGCTTCAATAACAGAAATTGACATAATTAGTTCAGTGCGCCGCGTAGAGCTCCGATGACTTACACGGCAGTCAAAGGGTTATAGGAACTTTGGATAAATTGTCATCACATAGTTTCTGTCGCTTCTCACACATTTAGTCCAGAGCCACGGGGGCCTTTATAGCTTTACCAGGAAGGCTAGCCGACCTCGAAGCTTAGCGGAGGGAAACTGTTTGAAAGCATCTGAGTGAGGCCTTAAATACATTGCGCGTGAATCTACCCCGAAACGGAACCGCGACTTGTTGAGAAGATTCGGCGAAAAACACAAAACATTGATGCTATAAACTGAGGCTCAATCTTCAACGAGTTCGCCCAGTACAGCGACCAATGCCACGGCCGCTTCTAGCGTTAGAACTAGAAACGAAGCTGGATCTTTATTAGTTTTGCTTGGCTCGACGGTGGTTGGTTGCTACGTGAGCCTGGGTAGAATTGTAGTAAACGTCAGCTACGACAGGGTAGTTATCATAACGCCTTGCTATCAAATACAAAATTTCATAATTAATCTCAATCATCCACAACTAAGCAATTCGTAATAATAATTATCCGAGACGGTATGTAAATCAAAATCCATTTTTTTTTCTACCTATGCTGATAGCCTTCAGAGACTATTTCAGCTTCTCCTTGACGAGCTCACCGGGCTCAAACCGAGTGTGTTGCTAACATTGGCTCTGGCAAGAGCAGTGCTTCGCACCATTAATGGATCGGGATGATCATGATAATGATGTGCTTAGGGCGACGTCGACTGTTTACCATTCGGTCTACAGGATCGGGCATGTCATTCCCGCCGGCCACGACAAGAGGATTTTCATGTCCTGCCGCTTTTTCAAAGTGGCGCAATGATGCTGACTGTATATACTTACTGAGTCAAGCTCCAGGTCATCATGAAGATCCACCTTCCTTAGGAATCATCGAAATCCATAAAAACCTCTTAACCACAATGAATCTCGTACTCATTAGAAGACAATAGAGTTAAGTTCACCTGCTGTGTTTTCTGCGAACAAAGCTTTGAAAATACCGGTAAATTAGAAGCAGGAAGTATGGAAATGAATGCAGTCACGAACTTCTTTGCAAAAGACTAGTTCAATGCGCGTCTTCTCCACGGAGCTTCCATTGTTTTCAAAAACTTAATGTTAATCGAGTTATCGAATCGAGACAAGTTTTCTCAACTTTCAGAAGTGAAGAGGATACAAAGTACTTTATAGAGTGCGTTTGTTTCTGTTTTGTTATTGAAATAATAAATTATTGCTCTTAAACCATAATCATATTATGTTGTACGTTTCAAAATAATTAAAGTTTGTGAAAATTGTTGTTGTCATTTTATAATCGGGACGTTCATATATTATGTGTCCATTAAGCTCTTGCAAAATGTATTTCGAATAGGCAGGCAGTGCCGCCGCCTCCACTTTTCACGCATCCGCCTATTATCGTTGCATTCATGTATAATTTACTCGTCGCTAATTGACTTTAAAACAGTTTAACGTGTGATTACATTTTAATTGTACCATGAAACGTTCCAGTTCGAAGTAGGCATTCAATGCATTAAAAATACAAAGACAATCGACGTCAAGGACGAGCGTTAATGTTATCTGCAGTGTAACATGTGGCCGGTGGACGATATCGCCGACGTGACGTAGGAGGCCCGAGAGCGGTCTAGGCTCTTTGTGCGAAGCCGAGCTGGTCGAGGGTGCCGCGGGCGGGTTGAAGGCAAGAATGCGGCGTGCGTGCGGGGTGGTGCGCGGCGCGGTGCGGCCGGGGGATGCGTCGAGTGGCGCGGGGCAGGCGCGGGTCGGGCGCGTGCCGCAGTAGCGTGTTACCGCCGACGCGGTCGCTCGGCACCAGTCGCCAACTGTCGGCGCCGCCCGATGCGAGCGCGGAGTGCGGACTCGACCGCGCCGCGATCCGATGCTGGTTCCCGCGCGTCCGATGCACCAACAACCCGCCATGTGCCACCGACTACCATGAGACCGACGCCGACACCGGCCCACTAAACTTTCGGTCAGGTTAGGTTCTTCTAGTTCTTGGAGGATCAAAACTTTTAAAGATGTCGCGCAGAAGTCGGTAGCCGGGATGGTCACTTTCTAACACCTCTAACGTGTTTTTCGAATGCTTAATTATTATTATTTTTAAATGACAAAGCAGAGGCAAAGAGTTTGGATCCGTCACCGCGGATCTGCGTATTTAAATGTCAACCGCCGGATGGTTCTAAAGTTATATAAATGGTAATCGGTCCGGAACATCGCGTTCCGTTTCCCTTATATTAGCTTCTGCGACTTCAAAACAGAATATATCTGCGGAAGTGGATATGAAAGGTCGGCTGGAAATCTTGGTACAGTACTGACAGTGTATTGTTGTCGTCGGCAGGTACGGATCCTGCTATACTTCATAGATCGCGTCAATTTTCTCGCATCATTATCCGCGCCTTCAATCCAAGCGATATAAACGATTTGTATTATTAAATATAGTTTGCGGTAGTATTTGAAAGTCCGCCAAGATTTCGATGGGTAGCACCATCTACAAATATTAATGTCACTAAATGCGCCATTAAAGCGAAGATAGACCCCAACGTCATAATTTAACCTATATTTTAAAATGTCCTTTATAATTAAAAATAAACATATAGTTTTGTTTCCACTTTAGTTTTTTTTTTATTTGTGACTGATAGTCGCTTTCCGCAATTTAGATTTTTTTTATTTCTGTAGTCGTACGAGTCTATTGGAAATGATTCACGAAATTAAAAATTATAGCTTCATATCTAACGCGAGGTGCGGACGGATGCTCTGGGTCGATCGTCATTAAGTCTTCTCTCGCACTTCTGTAATATTCATTTCGTTACGAATGTCTTGGGCCGATTTTAAATCGAATCACTTACTCCGAACGGTTGATATTCGTTTGATTCGTTTCTGATAGCAATAACGTCATTATCATCGATTGCAATCTTTACGGATAGGAGGTAAATCGCCATCACACTAATATACTCAATTTGTCGATAAGAGTTTTCATTATAGTACAACGGCTCATTTATTTGTTTACAATATTTAGATGAATAAACTGTTTAAGCGAAAAATCGTTCTGACAGATGTTGAGCAATTGTATTTGGTACCCTAAGAACCTGTTATTAAGAAAAGAAATTCATTGCGACAGCATTAGACTTAACTCTATTCGCGTCAGGCTAGTTGTTGTATTTTTATCGAGTACGCTACTATATTTCAATGAGACATAACACATTGTGTATGATGGAAAATAAAACGTAGATTATCAGACATTGGATCATTAAAATACAAGATCATACAGTTTAAAAAATATATAATAGATTTATTCTGAATTCGAGTAAGCATTTTCATAATTTGGCCGAAGACGATTCAGAGAGCTAAACAGGCCGTTATAGTATCATTGTTTCGAACGTCAAGAAGGGATGCTGTGACGCTGAGATAAGTGGGGAACATTAAAATTTGAAAGTTTCTAAGAATTGTCGTAGAGAATATTCTTATTCGGAATGACCTTATATTATTATAAAGATACCGAAACATTTTTTTTTTTGCTTAGATGGGTGGACGAGCTCACAGCCCACCTGGTGTTCAGTGGTTACTGGAGCCCATAGACATCTACAACTACTAAACAAGTAAATGCGCCACCCACCTTGAGATATAAGTTCTAAGGTCTCAAGTATAGTTACAACGACTGCCCTACCGAATTCAAACCGAAACGCATTACTGCTTCACGGCAGAAATAAGCAGGGTCGTGGTACCCACCCGCGCGGACTCACAAGAGGTCCTACCATCAGTAAACATCTATAAAATTCATTTTAATAATTATAAAAAAAAAAAAGATTTTTTGTTGAATTCTGAAAATGCAGATTATACACATTATTAAATGAAACGAACCTCTAATTTCAGTTATTATTATACGATTTCATAATTGATTTTCAAACATACTCCGTGACCATTAATATACTTTATTAAAGTGCGCGGTATTACTAAATTATCCCTCGAACGGTAATTTTATCATAATTTTTATTACTGTTTTCGACAAACGAAGATAGCCATAGCATAACTTTTTTTTTTTTCAATAATAATCTTTATAGATGTCAATTTTATGATACAATATCACAATTTCAGGACTAAAAAGATAATAATAGTTATTGAAGTTTAGGATATAATTAATCAAATCAAAAAACTAAAATTACCGACATTTATATTTGAATAATAATTTTAGTATTTTTTCCTTACTTAAGAGAAAACCGACTGCTAAAACATAATTGTATGAAAAACCATTATTACAACGTAAAACCATATAATACATGTTTTTGAAAATAGACTTACAAAATATGTTCAAATATAACTTAGAACTAAACGAAATCCTTGTAAAAAAAAAAACAGTCCTGGGCTAAAAGTTTTCCTACCCCACGTTAACGTTGAACGTTCACGTTAACGTTTACCCCACTGACTGTCTCAGGCTCACACCTCCTTTATATCATCAAAAGAGACTTATCACCCGTCAATCACAAATAAGGAGTCATTAAAAATCGTTAACATCGTCGAAGATCCAAACCGATCTTAAGTTCCTATTGGATCGGTCCCAACAATAACACAATAAAGAGATTCAGCTGAGGCGTTTAATAATCGGCTCTTCTGACTCCGGATTCGAACAAAAGTCCCGCATTCTTCGCAATCACGAGACCGGGTGCTTAGTTTTGGATCGGACATTGATTTAAATCAAATTAAAACGATTCTTTAAACGATGTCCGAATGTTTTTACTGGTGGACAGGACGTAACGCAAACTCGCAAGGGTAGCTTATAGGTTTAGCGGTAGGCAGCGGCTTGGCTCTGCCCCTGGCATTGCTGAAGTCCATGGGCGACGGTAACCACTCACCATCAGGTGGGCCGTATGCTCGTCTGCCTACAAAGGCAATAAAAAAAAAGTATATTCGAGTGATGGACTAGCCCTTATAGAATACAATTGAAACATGGATCTCACAAATCGAGTGTGATTCCCAGTGTGATTACATGAAATACATGTGTGAATACATGAAAGCTATATTAAAACAAAATAATTTCGTAAATAATTTTAATTTTACTGTTTATCAGATTCAAAACACTATAGTTCAAATGAAAAAGAATCACCCTGTAGATTTGTTAATTGTGTATACCGAAGAAACCGATGCGTTCTCAGATTTTATTCCAAAATAACGTATTTATTTTGTATGAAAATCGATCGGCCGCGAAGCTCACGTTGAACTCTAAGTTTCAACAAGCTTTCCTACTGGTAGCTCGGACTGAGCCTGCATGGATCGCCACCGTCATGCCGATTATATCCACAATCCAGAATAAAGCCGCTTTCCGATTTCAGTAGAGTTGTGCTTTACCAACACGCTAGATTAGCTTTGATAACATGGCAACATCACATGTCAATCGTATATGTCGGCGTTAAGCCAGGATTTACACACATAAGTTCTTTTACAATGAAAATACAATACAATTCTATAAAACTTTAACATAACTTGTTTACAACAAAAAGCTACGCCTGAGTTATTCAGTGGTTTTTACACAATTAGCCATTTTGTGTTGGTTAGCAACTACAACTTCTTTTATACAAACAAATGTAATTACTGCGAAACAATTCACAAAACATAGCTTAATATTCAAAATACATATTTTAGTGATTTTACATGACTCACATTTAATTTATTTTACATGAATTACTTTTAAGTAATATTAACTAACATTGTTATTATCCAGCCTAATAATAGATGGCGCCAACAACATCATTGCATAACAATTACAATACTTAATTAAATTATTAGTACTGTTAATTATAATATAAATTATTATTAATATTTATGCTTTATTCATATTTAATCATTTTAGTCATTTGTGTTTTTAAACAATAATATAAACATTAAACATATTCTGAACATTTTCACATCAAAACAGTGTCTGCTAATTATTAAATATGGTAGAATAACAGTTTAGTTGCTAATAATAAATAAATATTAACATAGAATAAACTAAAATATATATTATTATGTTAATTATTGCCAACAGTGGCGTTTGCGCCCATATATACATATTAACACAATGGAAGTTATACTAAAACTAAATTCATGCACATTCACATAAAGCTAAGTAAGCTCGGTAAATATAAAGAACTAGCGACCCGCCCTCGCTTCGCTTCGGAAACATTAAAACACACATGAAACCATAAAAAAAAAAAAAATTAAAAAAGTAGCCTATGTTCATCAGGGACAATGTCGGCGTCTAATGGAAAAAGAATTTTTCAAATCGGTCCAGTAGTTTCGGAGCCTATTCGAAACAAACAAACAAACAAATCTTTCCTCCTTATAATATTAGTATAGATAATAAGCGTAATACAATAATAAAATTTACATTTAGTATATTAAATAGAGGCTGGCCATCATTTTTCGCAAAGGCATTCTTCATGATTACTGTTAACAATATAGCCAAAAAATACGATGACCCCAAGAAATGAAAAATTCCAAATTAATATCAATAAAATAGATTTAAAAAAAATAGCTTCAACTTTATGTTTCCAACGCCGAGTCTTTTAATATCCGCTGAAAAATATCTCTCAACTAATTAATCGAATTTGCTAATTTAATTTATGCCATACACACCGCCGGGAATAGAGGAAGATGGCGAAACATCATCCAGATAAAGATAATGGGAGGAGATGGTCACGACCCTCAGGCATGAGGATTGAGACTTAGAGAGGAGGAGGACTCAAACTTTTGGAGCGTCTTATTACACAAGATATGACTCTGTAGACCTCACGACACGAATCCCTCTTGAGAGTTAAGGTCTAAGCCTCAATTATGTTCTATGATGGCCTTGACGCCCTCCGAACCGGAATGCCTGACAAGTAGTAGCTAACTAATGTTGTCTATGTACAACTACATCGCATTCTATCCTTTACATTGGCAATTTAAAATACGATCGAAAGAGACGAAATTAATGCGAGATACAGTTGAATTATAGTCAGATT